AATATTACCTTTGAGATATGATTCTATTTATAGATTTAGAAAGAAAGCTTATAACTCTTCACTTATTTCAGATAAAATTATTCTATTTATACATGAAGAAATTGTAACTCATAAAATTAAAGTTAATTTCCAATAAACAAATTCAATTGAAAATGTGAAGGAGTAAATCACAATTCAATGTAGAGAATTTCTATAGAAGAGTAACTAAAGAGTAAATCACATTTTAATATAAAAAAATTATTGTTACAAGTACTACCCATATTCAAGAAGTAATAACTAAAGAAATCACTACTATTTGCTTACAATAAAAAGTGTAATAGCCACTTTTATTTTACAACACTTTTTTAATTAAAAAAGAGAGTTATATTTGTTATCGGTACAAAGAATTATTCAAGTTTATCTAAACAAATATTGCATTTATGTATAAATCTTTATATCATTACATTTCATTTAATATTAAGAACAAGCATAATTAAACATTTTTTTTTCTTAAGTGACTCTCTTATTATTTGAGCTGTTTATTATTACATAACTTAGATAAAAACAGAACAAGAAAAGTTAGACAACTCAATGAATAAAGAAATTCTAAGAAAAGAATTAAATTATAATATTCTCTCTTTTAAAATATTATAATTTTTTTGAAATTATTTAAATATATTTAATAAATATTTTTTACATGTTAATTAATTAAATATATTTAAATTCTTTAATTATTATTTTTGACATTTTAATTAAAATAACGTTTTGATTTTTCTTAAACCCAAAACCTAAACAATTTAATTTCGAATTTTTTTATAAATGAAAATTATTTAATTTTGAAATTTAAAATACTGCAATATAGCCTTTAATATTGAAGTTTCACTCATCTACCAATAATTAATAATATAGTCCAACATTCTCTTTGAAATTTAAGTTGAAACTTTTAAAATGGTTTAAAAAAAAAAAAGACCCACTTTCAAATAGATGTGGAGACAATTCCCACGCCGAGCCAAACTCACCTCAAATCCTTGTTGAAAATAAACCATGAAAGCAGAGCAACGTCATTATGGGGCAGATTTGCCGTTTTAGCATCATGCCACGAGCGTTTTTGTCATTGGATGGACCCAACCCAACTTTCTCCCTGTTGTCATGCATGAGGTACCCACCATGACATTTAGCAGCCGAGTAGAGCCAACAAAAATTTCATAGTCTAAAATGTTTTATGTGCTCCTCCTTTTACTGTATAAATTATGAATAATGATAAACGGATGAAAATTTAATATTAAAATATGAAATTAATGGTGTGATATAAGTTATATTATTTAAAATATTAAAAAATAAATTTTATATTATTTAATAATTAACTTTTTTTTTTATTTTTTTGAAACTCATAATATTATACATATTAATTAATTTAATGATGTAACATATACAATATCATTGGTCCCAAATTTTCATTGTCTTGTCATTACTCATAAATTATATCAAATTATAAAAATAAAAATTACAAAACTAGAGGAGGGCTGATAATGAGTTAGTTGTTTAGTGATAACTTTTTTTTATTAAAAGTAAGGTATCATTAGTTTAAATTGTATGGTAAATAAGTAGAGATAAATTAAAGGATAAAAGAAGGTTCTTTTAACTATGTAATTCAAAATAAAAAATAAATCAAAAGGAGATTCTCAATATTAAATATTTACCTTTATTTAATAATTAATAGCATGCAATTTGATAAATTAAATAATATTCTTTTAATATCTAATTTCCGTATAATGTGGAAGATGAGATAGTGTACTCTTTATAGTTTTTTATTTATAATGAAAAATATAAATAATTAAAATTTTAATTAAAAATATATTTGATTTTTAGAGAGAGGTGACAATTCTTTGCTAATAAACATGAACTTAAGAGAACTTTTTTACTTTTAATTTTTAATTTTTAATTATTTTAATTTATTTAAATTAGTAAAAGGTATGAGAGAGAAATGAAAAGATATTGTATATTTTATTTCTTTTTTTTTTTTGAGAAATTTTATTTCAAATTATTTTGTTTTCTTAAAACTAAACATAAGGATTTATATTTAAGTTGATTCTTGTCTTGAAGGTTTCAATTTTTAGAAGAAAAAAAAAATAAAACATTCTAAAATGACAAGAATTCATTAACCTCTTATTAAAAAAATTAAAATAATAAATAATAACAAAAATTATTTTTCTATCAAAGAGAAAACAAAATTATTTTAGCCTTTTCATTCAAGCTTGAGAGGATAAACATTAACGTACTGTTTGGATAGAAAATAGTAAAGGGAAGGGGAAGGAGGGGGTTGGAGGAAAATAAAAGGAAACGGAGGGGAAAGAAAGCAAAGGGAAGGGAAGAAAATGGAAGGAAATTATCTGTGTTAATTTTGTTTGGATAAATAAAAATGAGGAAGGGGAAGGGAAAGGAATGGAATGATTGTATTTTTTATGTTTGGATAATTAAAGTAAAAGGAAAGGAATGATTTAAATTAATTTTAAATTTATAAATTTACCCTTTAATTAATTTGCAAGAAGGAGGAGGACAATTTATAATAATAAATGAAAAGGTTAATTTTGTAATTATCTTTAACCTAATTTACACAGCTCTTGAAATCCCTCGCAAAACCCTCAAATCGAGAAGATTGCAAATCTACAGAGTTGAGGGTGGTTGAAGGTCCGTCAATCTCCCTCCCCTTTTGCCTCTTTGGAAACCCAAACAGGAGGAAGGGGACAACCTCCCCTCACTCCCCCTCCCTTATCATCCATCCCCATCCCTTCACCTCCCTCTCCGTCCGATACCTCCAATCCAAACAATATGTAAATTCATTGTTATATTTTTTTATTATTTTTTTTACAAAAGGAGTCTTCCATTCTTATCTCCCTTTCTTCAAGAGTCCAATTGTTCATCTTCCATTCTTACTCCCAACTTCTTCCTCTATATTTTACAATTCTTACCTAAAGCAATGGTGAGTCTCTGTTATTTTTCTTAATTTTTAAATTTTAATTTATTTTCTTTCTAACAGTCATTTTTATTTCCCATTTGATATGTAATTTTTGGAATGATTCCGGAGATTGTATTATTATTATTATTAATAATATTATTATTATTATTTTGTTCACAGAGATCTAATTAGCAATAATGCCAAGAGTTCATTTTCTCACCTATTTTTTGTTGGATTTGCATTTTCTTTTATCTTACTAGAATATTCCAAACTCTAAATCAATTGACTTCAAAGCTATGTCCTTTGTATTATAGAGACAATGCTGAAGTAAGCTTGCATGGATTTGCCATTAAGATGCTTCAGTGCAAATAATGAAAATTTGCCATTGATTAATGACCTTGTTTCCTTTTTTTTTTTTTTTGGTTGATGCAATTTGATTATGTTTTATTCTATGATCTTGAATGATCTACTGGATTTTTTTTGAAGATTCAATGTTGGTTGTGTGATTTTGCTTTTTATTGATACTATCTAATTTTGTTTTGTTCTATGATCTTTGAATGATTTACTAGAGATTTTGAAGATTTTAAATTGGTTGTCGGATTTACTCTTGGAAATTGGTTACTTTGATGATTATGTTACTATTGATTTTGTAGTTAATTTTTTTTTGCTTTATATTAAAATCTTAATGTACCATTATGTTTTATCCATACAACATAAAATGATGGATTTTGTTGAGTTTGATTCATCATTCCTTCTTATTGTCATGCTTGTTTAACCCAATGTTGCTTTGCCCATGTTATCTTTTATATTCAATACCTAATTTTTCTATTGCATTGATTTGTTTTCATTTTTGGCCTTTTTTTTTTCTGACCATTTTTGTTGTTGTT